CGACGCGGACTTGCCACCAGAACCGCAAAGCTGAAGCAACGCTTGAGTTTGCCGACGGCTGGGCCGATTTCTTTGCCCGCTGACCGGACGTGCCTGAACAGGGCTTCTTAGAACTGCAGACCAAATCCAGATTTCCGCAGTCTACATGATTTTCGTGTAAATAACCAAAAATCCCGGACTCTTCCCATGGCGAATCAGAAGATACTTCTCGCAGCTAGCTGTTCACAACACTATTCACCTTCCAGGAGCGCAATGCTAAAGCCTCTTTTGGCACATGCCCCCTGGAAGAAGGTCAGGGCCGGGGGCAGGGCCGGTGGCGGAACATACGTACGGCACTGAAAATGAAAACACATCAACTAACGCTTTCATGATCGGTGTTTGCTAGGCGGAATCTTTGATACAGTGACAGAAGACGTTCGAAAATACGGGCAAAAGCAGCAAAAGCTGGCAAGTGCTGGACCACAAGTTGTTCGAACCGCTTCCGCGACAACGGCATACAGTCTGCAATCGTTCGTCTCGAATGCAACATCCAGATTCACATACCAGTGCAACCGATATCCCCAGGATATCTCATTTGGGAGCTCGCCTGGGGAACAAGGCAATGTGTCAGAACCACATGGTAAACTTAGGTCGCGGGAGCCACGGGATTTTATCGGCAGCTAGGGTCGATATGTGCGGTCCGCGTGCTCCCCCCCACTTGGCTCCCCTCCCCAGCCACCCTAAACTTTACCTAAACCCACCGCGAACCACAGGGGGAGAGTGAAAACCCTAAACCTGCAACCCTAACCGTGAACCCCAAAACCCTAAAACCTAAACCCACCACGACCCACAGGGAAGTGGAAACCCCAAACCTGCAACCCTAACGAACTCTGAACCCCTAAACCCTAAAGCCACCCCGAACCACAGCGGAGGAGGAAACCCGAAACTCTAACTAACCCTGGGTCCTGAACCGTAAACCTGCTCCTACCACGAAACACCGGGCGGACCTCAGCCTGAACCTTACCACGGGGGCAAAGCGACAACCCCAAACCGAACCGCCTAGCCCCAGACCGTAAACCCACCATGCTGGCGAAGCGGATCATAATGTCGTCTGCGCGGCAAGGTGCCGTAGGGCCACCACCACGTGAATGTTCTCGGTGGCCGCCTCTTGCGCTCCAACCAACATCTCCTTGACATGACTTTCATGGCGTCGCTGCACCATCGGCCATGCGATCACCATGATGAAGTTGATGAAGTGGCGTTCTCAAAGTGTTGGGAGGAGATCGAGATAGATCGAGTATTGATGCAGAGCCAAGATGTTGGTTGGCCATCCATGATCGTCTGGACACGAGACCCCAAATTTGGCAGGATTCTCTGCCAGGGCGGGAGGGGGGGGGGGGCACTCTAGGGTTCTCTGAAGGAGATTCTCTGCAGGATTCTGCGAAGGGGAGGGCACTCTCGGGATGATTGAAGCTAATTCTGTTCATTCTGCACTTGTTCCTCGGACGGCGCGCAGACCGCAGCAGCGATAAAACGGATTGCTGGCTACTTCCCAGCAGCGCACACGCTCGAAGATACTCTGAGTTATTCAAGGCAGGTCCATGCTTCTTAGCAAGGCTCAATAGGATTGCTTCCCCCCCCAATGTGAGCGCACAGAAAGACAGCTTCAAGTGGTTTCAGGCAGACCGATGCATATTTGAATTTGCAGGCACAAAAGCACGACTTCACACAAAAGATATCAACGACTTGCAGCAACCCGTTGTACTTGATGCCTGCCCATTCTCCTGCAGTTTCTCTGCCAACTTGTCCGCCAGCGCCTGCTTCCGACGGAACTCACACGCTCTTGAGTCCATTATGACGTGTCATGTTGCATTGCAGCTGGTTTAGGGTGTGCATAAGTGTGCACAAGTGCGTACCATCACATGGGGTTTCTCAGAGCATATCGGAAATTCAAGCCTCGAGTCTGCGCGATCCCGTACTTCCATTTCCAACCCTTCATCTGCCTTGACCGCTTTCCTCTCTGACTCCGCAGACGGCATCTCTTGCTTTGCCGGTGTCGCTGCACCAGTAGAGGCCTGCCAGGTACCGGCAAAAGCCTAAACCCTAAGCCCTAAACCCTACATCCTCAAGACAAAACAATCTCGTTTACAAATTCTTTTCCCAGCCTAGAGGCACTGACATATTCGAGTTACTTAAACGTACGTGCTTGCCTTGAAGTTATTTGTCTAAACAGGACGGCACAGCACAAAAAATGGCTACACGAATCAAGTGGGCTATGTCTCTGGGCTATAGCCCTTGTAAACTTCTATGCTAGTGGCACAGTTGTCTTGACTCACTTGACATGCATTTGACATGAAGTGACCACAATGAAGGCCTTGTCTGCGGCGTCCTTCGAGGAATCTTCCTCAGCAGCCCTGGCACCGAAGTAGATCGGCGAAGAAGCCGGTGGACAACGCATCACAAGACCACACCGAAGTAGGAGAGTCGGCCAGGCTACTGTTGTCTACTTTGCGCGCTACGATGATGCTGTCGAGGCAACCTTTAAAATGCCAAGCAACTCCACTGCCGCGGCCATCAACGCCTGCACTGTTTATCTAACCTTACGTGCATGCGTCATGTTCACCGCTGATTTGTAAAGTGGGCCGGAGTCGTGCGGAACAGAATAATGAAAGCAGGCTGGAAAGGTGCGAAAATTTGCGAAATGGTGCAGGAACAGAATGATAAAGCAGCCCGGAACTATTGAATAGTGTGACTCCCCCCCCCCCCCCCCCCCCCCCCCCCCCCCCACTACAAAACTCGATGCTGGCTTTTCAAGGCCCCTTACCATTCAAAGGCTCTGGCCTCTGAAGCTCTCTGTCCACGCCCGATTTCCGCTTCAAACAACTGAAGCTGTCAGGTGATCAAGCTTTCAAAGGGGTAGTTCCTTGCAGCCGTCCTGCGGCGACCAGACTTGACGAACCGAAAGAATCCAAAGACGAAGGCAAATAGACGTGGAACAACTTTGGGAGCTTACTCCAGCCGCCTTAGCCATAGCCATACAACGCCGCAGCAAAATGCCTCGGCGGGGCTGCGCTTCATCACGACGACATGCCGCCGCGACACCTTTCGGCAATCTTTCAGGATGCAACACGACACCAACAGGATGCAAAGGACGATTTCATGCTTTCGGGTTTGTGGGGGTTTGGTGGGGTGGTCCGTAAAAAGTCCGGCACCAGCAAGCGACTAACTTCCTCGCTGAGAACGTCCGCAGCATCCCACGGCTCTCCACTCTCCCAATCCCAAGCTATCACTCAGAGAAGACATCGATTTGGCCGGCATAGACCACAAACAGTGTAAGGGCAGTTCAAAGCATTCCAAAAGACAAGAGCTTGCTAATATGACCTCCAGAAGCATTTCAAGACCACTCTCCAGGGAAAACAAACGACCACGTCGCACTTCGCGAGGAGCATACGCACGGAACCGAGACGTGAGAACCACAACCCTTAGAGTGGACGCACGAAGCGAAGCCTCCAAAAGTTCAAAAAACAGGGAAGCACGTCCCTGCCTTGCATTTTTGCCACACGGAGCAACGCAAACCTCAACAAGTGCACGAGACTTCGGCGGCAGGCGGCGCGTAGGCGAGAGCATCGATTTCGAGGCCCCGTGCGCATGCGGGCGCGCGGGCGCGCCAGGGTCAAAGCGAACTCCCTTTTTTTAACCCTCACCGTAAGAACCTCAAAGTGCAAGCACTGCTTGGGGAATAAACCTTGTGACCGCCCAGAACTCAGAGTCATGCGCCTTCCTTGCACGCGCCCGGGGAAGCGATTTGCTTCTTGGCGCAGAAGCCTTCATCAGAGAGAAACAGCAAGGAAGAAAGGAGGGACGAAGGAGAGAACAAGCCGTGAGCATCTCCTTGTTCGTGGTTATGCCAACACATTACGACAAGCACCTCAATGTTTGAAGCTTCTTCTTCACCATCCTCTCCCAGGGGCTCGTATCTAGGCCTGAGTTTGAACCAATCAAGCTCTAATGATGGAGCCCTTGCACGAACAGCCGAGCGTGATCCACGCACACTGTGTTTCAACACTGCACCAAACAAGCATGGGAAGCAACTTCGGCAGCGATGCAGATGAGTCCAGCACTCACGACGTCGAACGGAACGACTGCAACCTCAAAGAGCCCCCAAAACTCTCGCAAACGCGGGAGCAATTCTCAATATTCTTACACCCAACGTGGCAAAGCTTACAACAGTCTCTTTTTCTCATCTTTTGCTGCTCAATATAAGAACACTTTGCCGGAAAATACCAGAACGCCACCAGTTCCAACAACAACTGTTGACAAAAGCACGGTTCTTAGCTGATGTGAGGAGTTGAACAGTGTGAAACTAAGTTAATGTTACACAGCCAATGATGCAACCAGTTTGGCCTTCGCATTCTGGATTGCATCAATCAGGAGTCTCACCAATATTGGAACTTTTCCACCAGTTGCAGTGCAACAAACTGAAATGCTGCTGCAGAACCCACAAGCCTGCCCAGAAACTTTCAACAAAAGTAATTTTTCTCTCGAACGATAAGACTTTGCTGAACTGTTTCTGACCATTGTGAGATTCTTCGAATTCTTTGGCGCGATATGGCGCCTTTTCGACGTCGTCCTGAGATGAAAGGCGGCCGGCAAAGAAGCTTGTCATGAACAATATTTGGAAAAGATGAAGTACAGCGTGTTTTCCGGCGACGCGCTTGTTCAAATCAGTCATTCGAACATTTGTTTTCAGCCCAGATTGTTGGCAACACCTAGATGACAGAACTTATGTGAATCATGTGAATAATGCCAAGAACCAAACTGTTGGCAATTCAGTGACAGCTGCCAAGTAAACTGCATCATTGCGGTTGGTGCTGCAAGACACAAAAGAAACTATTCGGTTTTTACAGCCCGCTTGGGGGAAAAGACGGATAAGTTTCTTCAAGGTCGTGGGTTGGCGGAGCACATGTATCGAAGGTGGACACCAAGCAAGCTTCTGGTACAGGTTCCATTACGCGGCCTTGTCAACCTTGTCTGAGGCAAGGGCACAGGATCGCTCTGGACCGCGGCCGGCACGTCAGAACCTTCCCGTGGCTTGGCGGAGGGCCGAAAAGCAGGGAAGCCTCGCAAGATTGTGGAAACAACTTCCGAACTTCCGATATCGAACACATCCAGCATCCTGCGAGATCCTGCGAGTAAGCTCGAGACCAGGACTTGGGATGCGGTCAGCTTTTCAACTGCCGGCTTTCGGCCACGTGGCCAAGGCCTTGGTTATTTATGGTTATTTATGCATGTAGCGTTTTTGGCTTTTATTTTAACATGCAACAAAGGGCGCCAGGGCCATCTCATGGAAAGTATTGGTCGGCAACTTCACATGAACAGGAAAGCATAGGGCAACAATGCTGGCAACTTCCCACAATCTGACGCAGCAAGTCTGCCATCTGCCAACGATGTGGAGTTTCACCGCGCATCCGACTTCACACGCCCAATTAGTCGCGGACTTCATGGCCTCCTGGCTGTCAACGATGATGGCCTTGCAGACTTCGCGAAGATCAGTTTGTGTTCTTCGGGGGGAGTCATTGCTTCCCGACTGCACCACTTCGCACCCAGCAGAACAGAAGTGGTTAATAAGTTAAGACAAGAGTGACAAGAGGGCGTCTTTTTTAGTAGGCCTAGAAACTGATTCCGCATGTTTCTGCGGAGTTCCGTGCAACTCTGTCGACACTTCAGCTGGGCTTCAGGCATAACGATCAACCGCCTTCCTAGTCGGATACAAGCGGATGAAGTTCCGGTTCCTGGTGCACTCGAGCAAAGCGTTCGCCTCGGTTGCGAATCTGAAGTTCAAGGACACTGGCCTTCGGATTCCTTTCACAGGAAGACTTCGCGCAGCTTCACCCTTGTAGGCCCAACAAGCACTGGGGCTACTACTGTGCTCCGCAACTCCTCCACGTCCAACCTTGCTGTCCGAGCATGGTACGAGTGAGTATCAGCGTTTTGCAACAACTGGGAGCATGGCGTGCCCAAAGGAACTGACGGCCAGTCTTCTGTGCAGTCCTTTTCAGAAGGCGGAGATGACCGGAGGAAGGCAGGCGGGATGAAGGTCCGCAAATGGCTTCGCAACGTTGCGCCGCAATGGGTGCAGAACCCGAAACCCTGAGCCTGAAGCACCCTAAGCCTTTTCGCCCCAAAAAGCCCTCTACATGCCCTACAAGGAGCGGAGCACGGAGCAACGGAGCAACGGAGCAACGGAAGTTTAAAGCAGAGGCGGGCTCCGCCCACAACGCAACGGAAGACGAGAAGAAAAGCAGCTTCCGTGGCGTAACCTTCTACAGCTTCAATCGACCTCGTCCTCTTCAGTTTCGCGCTCTTGTTGTCGGAGCACCGATCGCCCTGGGGCGGTGTACACGACTGAATGAATGTCAATGACACATTGATTCACTTGCACGTAGCAAGCAAACTGTTTCATTGCGGTGTGATGCGGATTGTGTTATGTCAGCATAAGCTGGTTTCTGAAGTTCAGGTCAGCCACAATGGGGAATGAACACAGTTCAGTCTGATTCTGTCTAACTCTCCAGGCGTCGCGGATGAGCTGCCACGAAAATACCAGCATTCCCGCACTCACTTTCGATTGCTCTCGAACGTTCGTCGGGTTTCAAACGCTGCAACCTCCTTGTCGGTCTAAACGACAAACTACAGAAGATGCTCTCACTTTCTTTTCCACCCTTCTTCCCTCACTCTCACTTGATCTTGGCACTTGATCTTGGTATAGACGGCATACGCAAGTCCTTTCCGTATCTAAAATCTACACTGTCAGTTTCTTGCAAACATCTTCTGGATGTGCTTTGTGCAAGCACTCTTCTGGCGCCCACTCTTAAGGTTTCCGCACCACCCAACTTACTTTCTTTGTCCCACTCGCACTCCCACTCCTCTCCTGCTTTCTAACATGGGAACTGCATGTTTCAACCATATAATTAGCTCCCAATGCCATGACCAAAATGGAGTTGAACAGCGCAGGACTTGCTTCCATCCCCTCGAACCCTTCCAATCACGACTTTTCAGAACTGCATTCCGCGTTCCTCTACAAGCCACTTACTCTTGAGCTGACCCCCCGCAGTAACGGCTGCGGGCGACAATGACATGCATGCTTCTCTCTCTTTCACTCCCAGTCAATCCTCCATCTTGATCGCTACTCTCGTGTGTTGTAGCGTTCTAATCTTCTCATGCAGCGGAAGCGGAAATCGTGAAGATGACACAGGCGTATATCACCACGCCTGAAACTTCCTAGTCCTCTAAAACAGGATGTTCTTGGGTTGCTTTACTGTTGAACCTCATTGCCTCTGCTTGCGAACTCATCTCTCACATAACTTCCTGTTTCTTTGTTTCTCGACTCTGATAAGATTCTCTGTGTACCTTCTGATTCCGGCTAGTAGCTGAGAGTGAGAGACGTTTCGGCAGATAAGGTAAAGTTTTGAGGTCAGCAGCCATGGGGAGTGAAGCGGTTCAGTCATACCCCGTTTTGAATGGGAGCTCTTCGACCCCATTGATAACAGCCAGACATGAAATGTTGTGCCCACAAAAGCAATGCGCAATGCAGGGTACATTCTACAGTTGAAGACACAAACCGCCATGCGTTTCGGAGATGTGAGAAACTTGTGCTCAGCTGAGGCGATCAGCATGCGTCGTCCACATAAGTTTCACAAGCACATGCTGCAGGACCATCGGCACTGCAGAAGCCAGTGGAAAGTATCATACAGCATCATACAGGATCATATCAACTTCATACTAAGCTTGCGCCTCATCGAACCGTTCAGCGATGCTGCTTTGGAAGTCTGACATTCCAGCACGACAAACCTGGAGCTAAAACTCAGCTGCCGACCAGACACGTAATGTCGCCTCCTGCGTTCCGGTGGTCCTGCAATATGGTCCTCATTTATAGAATGCGATTCCGATCTGCTGGAGGGCCTGCCTGGAGGTTTGCCAGGCACTTTTACTACCTCCAGAGCAAGTTTGGCTGTTTCGATGCAAAAGCATGCAGCATCAAAACAACCATACGCATGATACCGAAAGCCTTTGACTTTGCCCTTGTTGCTTCTGCCAGGCGCTGCTTGCTCACCTTGTTGATGCCAACCTTGACTACGCCGCGCGCACACACACACAAGCGCACGCAAGCGTGCATGTACATGCACGCTCCTGTAGACAGATGCCCCTAGTGTCATGAACTGCATAGTTGGCTGTCACTGGGTCGCCGGCAAGGTTGAAGGAGTCCGACAGCAAGGAGCTCTTGATCTGCCAGTCCAAGGGGGAGTCTGCCTGCTTCGCTGGTGCCGTACTTCGTTCTTCACAGCATCATGGCACCTTTCCTAGCACCGGAGATCCGACCGTGCACCTGCATGCTTGGGCTGAGGTTGACCTCTAAGAGCCAAGGCCTGCAGGCACACACATACACACACATAGAGAGAGAGAGAGAGGAGCGCGCACGCACGCACATGCGCAGATGCACGCATGCACACGCACACACACACACACACACACCCACCCACCCACCCACACCCCCCACCACCACACCCACCCACGCACGCACGCACGCACGCACGCACGCACGCACGCACGCGCACACCACACCCACCCACCACACCACACCCACCACACCCACACCCACACACCCACACACCCACACACCCACACACACACACACACACACACACACACACACACACACACACACACACACACCAGGAATCGGTCAGCAGCAAATTCTAGGATCGAAGGTCTATCTAGCCCGAATTGAACTGTGAGCTGATGAGCTGTGATGCTTGCACTTGTTTGTGCCATAAACCTCCATGAAGTAGCGAGAGCGCAGTAGTACAAAAAACGCCATCACTCCGCTACGCTGAGGTGATCAGTCGTTGCTTCACCATCATCTAGAAATGTCCTCGTTGGCAGGAGACTGGCTAAGAAGCTCCCATCCCTGATTCGGATTGCTATGCCTGCTTGTGTAAAACATTGCTGGGAGTACATTACGGGACAGGCATGGACAGGCCATTGGCGGATAGCATCCTCCATTGCCCAGGTCAGGTTGCACGAGCATCCAAGAACTGTCCAAAAAAACATCTTCCTCATGCCCCCCTGCTTGCAACATGCTCACATGGCATCAGTCTACCCCAAAACTCGGTTTCGATGCTCATCGTCTGATGGGCAAACCGCTGAGGCAGAGACTTCAGGTCTTGGTCTACCAACACATCGAAGCCATACAGCCTTCACACAAAGCCGCGGCTTACTCAGACTGAGAAACTCCTTGTCTGATGCAGTTGGCTGAGCTGCAGGCTCGAAGCAGTTGTGACCTGAAGCCACAGTTTGATTGATTTGGATGCGTTTCTCGCATTTGCAGCCATTCGGATGTCGAGCAGCCGGGCAGCAAACTGTAATTTACTGTGGCTTTGGTACGGGCACCGATCACTGGCTCCACCTTAGGGCATGATGGATCCTGACCCCATCCGGCTTTAGGCCAAAGCTCTACAGTGTGTGCATGTGCACGTTTGTACTTCAGCATCGTGCTGCACGCCATTGTTTGCCAAGTTCGCATTGCAAGAGCTCTACACTTTGTCTTCAGCAATAAAAAAATGCGTGGATTTATTGCTCAGGCAAAAGGTGCCAGGGTTGTGCGCTTCATGGCCAAGAGAGCTGCAGACAACAGTTTGCACACGTGCCCTTGTAATCCCCAGGCAGAGGGCAGTCAAGCAAAACGGAGTACGAGGTCAGATAACAAAAGGCAACCTATCGTACCCTCCGAAGCTCATTAAGCTCATAGCGCAAAGCCCTAAGGCATCCTGTGGACATAGACTCTCAAGGACCGCGGCCGTTTTGCGACAACTGTTGGACCTTTTCACTGGTGCAAAACCCTGCCTGACAGAGCAGCAAATACGATGTTACAACGTGCCCTTTCGACAGGTGTTGACTACGGGGTTGAAAAACGCTTGGGATTTACAGAGGCCGAGGGAGCGGGGGGTGCTGCATTGCATTGCCTTCTTGCTTCGCGGGTTGGGCTGTTCCTGGGTTGACTTGGCAGGCACCGCACTGAAAGGACCGATTCGCGCACAGATGATTCACGCACTGAGAACGGATTCGCATACTGGATTCGCCGAGTGGAAGAGGGTTTCGTGCACACAGCATGCCTGTGTCCGTGTCCGCACAATTGCTGCCAGTGCTGCGGACAGGATGCACAAGCACTCTGCAGCTATTCTTCAGCATACATCCTTTCACCTGACATCAGCAAATCATGATGCCAGCCAAGGTCCACACGGATAGAAGAGACTTCACGATGGCGTCCTGTGTCAATGAGAAAACATGACGGTACTTTCGGGAACACATCCCTTGCGACTTGGTGCCAACTGAGCGCAAGACCATGATGCGAGTCCACATGAGCTCGACGTCTACCCCAGTACACCTCCAGAAGCGTGGAGGTGCTCCGATTCTTCCCTTCCAAGAAATTGTTTTACCTCGAACATCCCCACCCTCTCTACCCACTCCTGGGTTGGGCACTCCAGGGATGAGCGTGGAGTAGACCGGGCGAGGAGAAGAGTTGAGTTCAAATCTAACAACCCCAAACCGAGGGTGGGGAAAAAAACGGGCTGCCTCAGGTGCTTGTTCAATGCAGATATGCTCCACTTGTGGCCAACGTTGTCGGCCTGCGTCAACAAGCCGAAGCGAATCAACATAGCGCTGCAGGCATTTCAGATGCTGACTTGAAGCCTCACGGCGTACCACTCCCTATCAACAACCGTGTTCAAAACCTCTTTGTTCCGATCTACCATGAAGCCTTGTTCATGTGCAACCATCATGCAATGGCTCAGGGAGCTCAAGAAGACAAGCCTGAACCTCGGAGTTCTCCACAAAGCTAGAAGATCCCTTGCCGAACAGAGGCTCGCACGGAAAAGGTGCAATGCATGATGTGTGTTGGCACTAGCTCGTATTCAGCGCTTGTCTCAAACTCCCGTGGCCTTGTTGATGGAGTAGTTGGTCAAATGGCGGTAGGCATCCTGTGCTCTCGTAACACCAAACTTATGTCAGCTAAATACGGCTACAGACACAAAAGTGTTTCAAAAGTGTCTCAACTGATACCTGCTGCGCAATGCTGCGCAATGCTGCGCAATGCTGCGCAATGATGCGCAATGCTGTGCAATGCTGCGCAATGCTGCGCAATGCTGCACCAGCAAGAGAGGTCTACCCGCTGCTGGGCTTCAGACTGTCAGATGCTTTGGGTCTTTGCTGTAGGGCTTGGAGGCAAAGCGCACGAGGCCTGACTTGTAGAAGCAACATGTGACCACATGGACATGTGACAACATGTGACAACCTGTGGCAGCATGTGGGTCAGCAGCAGATTCGGAAACTGAAAACGCGCGGATGTGGAAACTGCAAAAACCAAATTCGGAAACTCGGAAACTAGCAAAACCTGATTCCGGAATTCGGGAAACCAGGATTCGGGAAACCCGCTTATTCAGGAAACTGGAAAACGCGGATTCGGAAACCGGTGACTCGGGAAACTTCAAAAAACTGAAGGGGCTGATTCGGGAACCCAGGATTTGCGAAACCAGCTGGTTCAGGAAACTGGAGCGTGCGGGCATGAACGTTATCATTCCCCCCCAACCCCCACCCCCCCACCCCCAACCCCCACCCCCCCACCCCCGCCCCCACAACCCCCCCCTGAATCGCATGTTCTCAGTTTCCTGAATCGCGCAGTTTCCTGAATCGCGTGGTTTCCTGAATCGTAGTTTCCTGAATCGCATGTTTGCAGTTTCTCGATTAGTTTCCTGAATCGCGTAGTTTCCTGACTCCTGGTTTCCTGAATCGCATGGTTTCCTGAATCGCGGGGCTGGTTTCCTGAATCCTGGTTTCCTGAATCGCGTCCAGTTTCTGAATCACGCTAGGACCGCTAGGATCACAGCATGTGACAGCATGTGACAACTGTTTTCTGCTTCTGGGGAAATCTCCCGATCGCTGGTGAAAATGGGTGCGGAGTCATCTTTTGCCCGTTTGGTTCGGCTGTTCGTTTTTGATCCGGATTCCGTGGGCGATGTCAAAAAAGCACCTACTTTCACTTTGTCCTCTTGCTTCCGCAGTGGAATAGAGAAACAAACCCCAACTTCCTCCACAGCAAATCTTTGCTTTCTCTCTATGGTCGATGCTGATAGGGACACGAGAAATTTTTTGCATAGGAACCACGTGTTTATTGCTTCTTTACGACTTGAAAAACCTTCATGTCGATCATTGAATCTACGATGAAAATCTCAAGTTCCTTCTCCTCAAAATTTCAATCAGACCGCTTTCCATTCCTTATTACTAGGCAAAACCTAAAAGTCCTTTCCCTCGATATTGCTAGCGAAAGCTTGACAATGGGCAGCTGTTTCCTTTTGATCCACCAAAAATGGCAAACCAAAGCTGGGGAACCCCCATTAATGACAACACGTGTCTACATGTTTGAGCTCGCGTGCTTGACCAGCGAAGCGAGAAACAGAAAGAGATAGAGAGAGATAGGGAAAGAGAGAGACAGTACGCATGCGAAGCTTGCGTGACATCTCTGACACGCCTAAATCGATGCCACCGTCCAAAACCATGTTGAACCGTCTGGACCCTCTTTGTCTTAGTTGTTTTTGTGCCTCAGCCTTTCTGTTTTTAGAAGTCCGGGCTTTCTCACTCCCACAATTCACGGAGCAGGCTGCAAGATTTCGGACTCGCAATGTATTTCATTGCAGACTTAGCTTTGAACTTAAACTCGGTTGCGTATGCTGCCTTCCCGGTAGATGTAGGCGCGCAGGGGCTCGTAACTGGTCACCTGTTCCGAACACTACCGTTCCAAGCACGGCTCTCTGGACTGCTCGAAGTTGAAACTTGTGGCAGCTGAGGCTACGACCAGCACATACCTCAAGAAACACCGAGACTGCACAAAGGCAGACTTAAAGACGGAACGCCTGCTTTTGTTTCACATCGGCACATCATCCTGACTGTTGCTCGGGCACGACTTGCTGTCTGCGCCACTTTTCTCATCGCAAACACGGTATAGGTTTCTGGTCAACCGCTTCGTCGGCATCTTAGTCAATCCAAGCTAACGAGGCAAACAAAGCGAGGCAACAAATTGCCGAAACAAAGCTTTGAAACTACAGCATGACCGATGGTGCAGGTCACCAACTCGGTCAGCCACAAACCCTCAGGTTGCGCCGATGGAAAATGCTGAATCTGAAAGACGCTTTTCAGCAATCGTGACGCTTTAAACAGGTTCAAAGATGAAACGCCCGCATCGAAAGCGAAGCGTGTGTCCGTCTGGCCCTCAACATCTGCAAATACCCAAAAAACCCGAAACCCTCCAACATCAAGCCTGCAAAGGCAAGCAGCCGTAAGTAAGAACGGGCCTTTCGGGCTTCCGCCATTAATTCAGAAGCGGCGGAGCTAAAGAAATTTAAAGAAACTTGAATGCAGCCTTGAAGCCTGACAACGACAGCCAGGGCTCAAGGGGGGGACCACTCTCACGCGATCCCCTGGCATCTTAGCCCCAAGACTTTAAATACAAAGCTCGACACTGCAGGCCACTGCAGGGGTAAGTCTGCAAGTTTCTTGGCTGACTTCGTGGAACATTTGATTGGTTTGTGCCGCGCTGTGCCTCCGTGAAAAAGAAGTGCAAAGAAAGAGCACAAGCATGACTAGAGTGACTAGAGGTTTGCCAGCGGACTTGTTGACAATTATTGTACATATTTTACAATGCCCATCCGAACGTAGAAAACCTGTACATCAGTACATCATTATGCCTTTCTCGAACAGTTGTGAAAGACTGAAAGCTGCCATCCACGTCCAACTCCACATTTTCCGTGGGCTCCACAGGTCATGCTTCCCTAAGTCACTGGGTCTACAAGGGGGAGTTACAAGTAGATTGCAAACTCAGCCGAATGATTTGCAGTGGCACAACACACACACGCACACATGCGCGCGCATACACACACGTATGTGCTCTTTCAAATCACAGTTTCAGCCCAACGTGCGATCAGACCAAAATCACATGACTTTGCACTCAGGCAATCGCGCGCGCTCACCTCACGAAACAGAATGGCACCGTTCCGATTGAAGAATGGACTGCCAAGAGTTAGAACACGCGTGCAACATCTTCGTCGCTCTGCCAACAATTCGACATGCCCCGGGAATGCTCCGACAGATGCCACACCTAGACAACCGGAATGCATCGTTGCAAATCGAACGGCATAGCACAAGTACAGCCAAGCCAACTTGCAAGAAAAATCTGCAGCGGGCTGCTCTGTCTGTTCACAACAGGCTTTGCAGAGTAGCGATGGATGAATATGCTGACTCATGCCATATCCACGTCTGTTGATGTCTAACTTAGCTGCCAACAGCTTCCACTCAGACCGATTGAACCTATGGTCAGCACATCAAGCAAGAACCAGACACCGTTGAGCTACAGCCGTCATCTGCCCGACGCTCTCACATCCACCTTGTGCAAGCGACAAAGCTGTGGAAGGAATTGTGTAATCAATGCGCTGTTGAGTGTGGTCCACCTCGCATAGACCGCAACAAACAGAGGTATCAGAACCAGGACAACCCTGACAAGTCACAGTTGGAAGGTTGAACCAATGTGCTAAGTTGACAAAGATCGCTCAGCAAGAAAAATGCCACCAACGCCTGTGGCCCAAAGCCGGCTGCAGAGGAAGCTGGCCAAAGGCATTCCACGCAGTGAGAAGCAAGAGGGAGTCCTTTGCTGGCAGGAAAGATATCCAGCTATTGACGAACATAGCTAGACCAGTTGTGCCTGTGATGGTAGGCAGCTTGCGTAAATCGCTGCAGTCTTCAACGAGACAAGCTCCACATGCCGCAAAAACGCAGTCTCTGCTGCCGCGTCATGCGACAGCACACTCAGCTAATTCCCCCAATGTTGCGCTTCAGCCTGCAACATCCCAATCTCACTACCATATCACCGTCCGCCCGCTAGGCAGAGCTAAGAATCTTGTCGGGGCAAAGAAGCCTTAGCTGCTCACTTGCAACTCACTCATGAACTTTCAGAAAATGGGCTTAAGAGGCCTGTCAGGGATGTAGTTTGTGAGGCTTGGTCTGAAGTTGCAGAGCCTCTGCTTGCTTCCACGTGGCTATTCTGGCGCACGGTTTAAAAAATGCAGCCCACTTCTGAAAGATCGTCTTCTGCAAAAGATCTTTTCACAGGCAGTGCTTTCGAACCTGCAGGGAAGCTCACAAGCACGGCCACTCCCGCTACATACCGTCACAACGATAAGTTGTTACAACTGCCTGCCTGCGCAAAGAAAATGCGCAACTACGACCTCCCAGCTGAAGGATGTCAAACTGATCTCGCACACTTGCACAGGCGGGTTGGTGTCCATCACGCCTGCCTGAGGAGGATTGGATGGAACTTGGGAGCAGAATCTGCAAATGCCTATGAGCACATGTTGCGCAAGGTCGGTGTGACACACTTTCTTTTTGTTTGCTTATGCAAGTTTTACTTGAGTCCCACTCCCTGTCCTGTGACACGGTGACACCCGAGGCAGTGGGGGATGCGACAGATGTGACCTAGGACTTCTTGCGCTGCGTGTGTTGTAGCGTGCTGTGCAATGACTCATGGGAGAGTCTGTGGTCGTTTATCACGCAGCCAAGTCTCCTCTGGCACGTCTGGCACGTCGTCTGTTGCATCCCAGGGGTCCGGATGGAATGCCATTTCGAAGGCCTCAACAGATGCTATGCTGACAGATGCAGACTCCAACTCGCCATTGTCCAGCTCAACTGGAGGACTGGCCTCCACATGGTGATATTCAACTGGTCCCCATCTCACCATCGCCTACCAGTCCACAGGGCTACGATAGGCTACGTATTCTCTTGAAACGTCCAGCATGCAAGGGCCTACTTGCAGCATCTAAAGGCACACATTGTGCCTTCGGCACTTCGCATCCATACAATCCCGTTACGCGTGGAGAGCGCTTACCCGTCTTTGCAATTCATTTCCCGGCCTTCTCACGTAATGGCTCGTTTGTAGCCTTTCAGCCTTTGGCCAACGAAAGTGCTCGAGCCAAGAAATCTGCGCGCTTGGGTCTCAGTCTGGCAGGCCTTCCTATGCCTTCCTCACAGCGAGCATACATGCTTGCTCTGAGTCTCGAAGTTTGCAGCGAATCTGGCATCTGAGTGTGACCGAGGCGTGCACACGCGAAGGTCAAACTTCAAGCCCTGGATGAGCAGAGGATTCTCCACGTATCGGGAGACTACTGACCTTGCACAGGACTGCTTCAATCTATGCACAGACGGAGATTACGCAAGACGCACACATGAGAGCCGGAGGGGCGACTCACTAAGTAAGCACTGCGGAAACTGTATGACTGGACCGGACCAAGGCCAAGGTGATTTTCTTCTCCGCTGTTGAGCGCCTCCAGGCGCGGATGTTCTGATCCTGAAGACCTTGCTCAATTGGCAGAAGACTCGCCCTTTTTGGTCAAGTGCTGCCAGCCACCATGAACCGAGAAATTGCCTCTGTACTCCCCCACATCGGCCCCAAAATCACAACTACGACAACATTATGGCACATAAATGCCTGTAGAGGAATATTTGGTAACCGCATCTGCTTGTATCATACCAAAGGTGGTAGTATCCTCCCCATCGAAGCATGTTCAAGGTTAGATTAAAGGTTGTAAACATAAGCAATATACCTCAAAGCCTCATAAAAACATGCATACATTATACTCACAAATGCATTAGCTGGAAAATAACAGCAAATGATAAATGTTCATTGCTTGCTTTCTGCCTTCAGCTTTTTCGTCTCTTAGGCAACCGCTCATGAAGTTTTAAACCGTTTTCTTGTCACCATGTATGTGAAATGGCAGGACACAACTTTGACAAAAATCATTCGTTCAACACGTCTAGCGTCCTTATGAGCCGACATAAGTTCTCAACGGTTGATGACTTAGCGTCCTTCAGTGTGTCTGTTTCTTCTTATTGTCTTTCAATTTCGCCCTGCCTCTTACACAACGAGCAAATAGACCACTACAACTCCAAGAAATCACTTAGTCTGTATATTCGTAACCAAGCCCGCGGTATTTGTTAACCACTCTTCCTGTTCGACCAATTGCAAAACTGATGTCATCCGTTACTGGTGTAGCATTGCCATCGAAAAGGGCAAGGACTCTGCCAACTAGTTCAGCGACCGGAGTCGCGCGAAAATCAATAATGCCGGCACATCCCACTAAAAGCTGCCAGCTGCTGAGTACGAACACAGCATGTTCGGACTGCGTGCGAGTATGACAGTTCCAGTCTGTACCTGCAGATGCGGCACAACATGGAAAAAACAACTATGTTTGAGCAACTTGCTTAGCAAGGCAATGGAAAATGTGGGCACCTCGCCACCCTGGGAAGAAGCTCCCTTGAAGTGTGGGGCCGAATACCAGTTGGTCTTTGTTCTTCGACCAGCAACCGAAATCCTGGTGTATTCCATTCGCATACCGCGAACCGGACTTGCAGTACTATGTTGTATTAA